ATACTTCTGGTAACCAAACACAGGTAACAAATCTGATGAATTGGAGCTATAAGGAAAAGTGAGTAGTAATATATAATTTGAGTAACTAAAGAAACGGTATGTACCAGGGTAGGATTTGGCAAAACAAATCAGCAAAAACTTCATTCTGCAGTTGTTTCATAGATTTAGTTGACAGAATAGAGATTGCAGAAACTATTTCGACTGGTGGAAAGGATAAAGAAAAAAAGGAAAGATGTAATTACAGACATACTGATCAATGTCAGAGAGCAGATTACAGATGGAGTTTTTTAGATAAGGAAACTATACAGTAGTCATAGAGATTTTAGCTCTCATGATATTAAACAGGAAAACAAAGTAGAGATATGTTCATAAACGTGATCTGAAGAGCAAAAAAGAGAGAAGTAAGCCTGAAGCTAAGAAATGGAAATGAACCAGGGCAGTTAAATAAGGTCAAAACTAGAAAGTCCCTGGGCTTCAGACTTGATAACACTGGCCTAGAATGTTAATGAGAATAAAAGGAAGAGCAATAAATATAGATACTGGACTATATAAAGGCAGATGCAGTTAGATTTCAACAATACAGGGAATCCAACAAAAGCATGTCTTTAAAATACATGGTTGATTTAAAATAAATCCATCCCACTTCATCCTATAAATACAAAATGGATCAATCCTAGAATGGCAAGAGGTTTCAAGCAAGGATCTGTTCCAGGTATGGTGATGTTTAAGATTTTTATTAATGATTTAGATGAAGGAGTAGATAACTCACTGATCATATTTGCAGATGACACACACTTGGAACAGGTTGTAAATACTTCGGAGAATTGGATTAGAATTCAAAAGGGCATTGGTAAGTTTGAGCATTTGGCTACAGGCAAAAAATAAATTCAAAGGCATTATTACCTGCGGGGTGGGGGGGATCAGATGCCGACTAAGGAAAATTGACTAGGTCTGTAACCCTGCTGAGAAGGATCTGGGGGCTGTGGTGGATCACAAACCCAACATGAATAAACAATGGATGCAGTCACAAAGCAAATGCAATTTAGCATTTGCATTAAGAAAAGTATTGCACACAAAACATGGGAGGCGATATTATCCAATAGCCAAACAAACAGTGAGTAGTAAAGGCAACTGACCAGGGACAAAATGTGCAAGTGCTTCTATACAAATGCCAGAAGCTTAAAAAAATAAGATGGGTGAACTAGAATGCCTTGTTTTAAATGGTAGCTTTGACAAAATAGGCATCTCAGACTTAGTGGGAGGACAATAATCAATGGGATGCTATTCCAACTAGTTAAAAACTACATAGGAACAAGAGTAGGACATGTCCATGGAGGAGTGGGGACTGTATGTTAAGAATAGTATAGATAGTAACAGCATAAAAATCTTACATGTAAGGAAAAACACCACAGAATCCCTGTGAGTAGAAAGTCTGTACTTGAATAAAATGAATATAGTACTACAATTGTACCACCTGATCAGAAAGATGTAGGTGATTATGAAAGGCTCAGGCTCAGATTAGACAAGCTGCTAAAGACAGCTGAAGACAAGCAATAGTAACAAGAGACTTCAATTATCCTCAGACTGGGTAAACACCTCATTAGGGTGCGATGCAGAAATACAATTTATAGATGCGATAAATGACTGCTTTCTAGAAAAACTCATCTTGGACCCCACAAGCGAAGAAGCAGTTCTAATCCTGAGTAATACATCGGACCTGGTTCATGTAGTATCTGCTGGTAAGCCACTCTGTAATAGCAACCTAAACATAATCACATTCAACAGTCTAGCAGGAGGGAGTAAGCCAAAAAAAAGTCCACCATGCCGATATACAACTTTAGGAGGGGAAATTATGCAAAATGAGGAAGTCAGAAAGATGGTTCAACTAGCAGTCAGAGATGTAAAAAGCCTGAAGGCAGCTTGGAAGCTATACCGCAAAATAAATGTGTATACCACAAATCAGAAAGGGTACCAAGAGGGCCAGTAAAACCCCTACATAGTTTAATACCACACTTAAGGAGTCCACTCAAGGCAAAAAGGCATCTTTCAAAAAATGGAAGGTATGCCCCAATGAGAAGGGGAAAGTACACAAGCTCAGCTAGGTTAAGTGTAAAAGCAAAATAAGGCAGGCCCAAAAAGAATTTCAAGAGTCTAGCAAAAGATGCTAACATTTATCATTAAAACTTTGTTTTTTAAATATATCAAAAGCAGGCAGCCAGCTAGAGAAGTAGAAAGCCATTAGATGACCAAGGTATAAAAGGTGCCTTTGAGAATGATATGGCCATAGAGAAGCTAAACAGATTCTTTGCAACAGTGTTTACTGCAGAAGATACTGGGGACATTCTCATGCCAGATCAAACCTTTCTAGTAGATATGTCTAAACAGCTGGACCACGTTGAAAGAGACAACAGAGAACATTTTGTAACAAACAAATCAATGTCACCAGCACTGAAGGAACTCAAAGGTGAAATTGCAGCACTGCTGGCAATAGTATGTAACCTATCATTACAAATGGCCCGTGTTCCAGAGGACTGAAGGGTTGCCAACATAATATCCATCTTCAAAAAGGGCTCCAGAAGTGATCCTGGCAACAACAGATGAGTGAGTTTCACTTCTATCCCTGGCAAGATGTTAGTCTCTAAAATGGAGAATAAAACCAGCAGTCACATGGATAAATCTGGTCTGCTGGGGAAGAGTCAGCATGGCTTTTTGTAAAGGGAATCCTGCCTCGCCAATCTGCTGCAGTTCTTTGAGGATGTCAGCAAGGACATGGACAAAGAGAATCCAGTTGACATAATGTACTCGGACTTTCAAAAAGCATTTGATGAGGTCCCCTCACCAAAGGCTTTTTTTTTAAAAACTGTTTTCACGGGATTGGAGGAAAGGTTCTTCTGTGGATTGAGAGCTGGTTAAAAGATAGGGAAGCAAACGGTAGGGCTAAATGGTCACTGTTCAGGATGGAAGGACATCAAGAGTGTGGTCCCACAAGGATCTGTGCTGGGCTCCATTTTGTTCAACATTTCATCAATGATCTGGAAATGGGGGTGCACAGTGAAATCTCCAAGTTTGCAAATGATACCAAATTATTAAGGTATATTAAGGCTGAAATTGAGGAAAAAGACCTGCAGAAAGATCTCACCAAGCTAAGTCAGTGGACAAAAAAAAGGCAGGTGAACTTCTACGTCAATGAGTGCAAAGTAATGCACCTGGGGTAAAATGACCTCAACTATACACATACAATGCTGGGTTCTGAGCTAGCTGTTACAACTTATAAAAGAGACCTTGAGGACACCGTAGATAGTTCTTTAAAAACATCAGCTCAGTATACAGCAGTGACAGAAAAGCCAATAAAATGTTGGACATCATTAAAAGAACTGAAAATAGAACAATATTGTGTCATTATACAAAGCTATGATGTGCCCACATATTGAATACTGTGTGCAGTTCTGGTCCCCACAACTCAAAACGGATGTAGTAGAATTGGAAACGGTACAGAGAGGGTAAGAAAAATGATCAGGGGCTTGAAGCAATTGCCATACTAGGAGAAACTAAAAAGGCTAAGGCTCTTGAGTTGGAAAGGAGAAGGCCAAGGGGAAAATATATAGAGGTCTATACAATCATGAAGGGTGTGGACCTAGTGAACAGGGAACTGCTGTTCACTAAGTCCCAGAATACTAGAACTAAAGGACACCCACTGAAATTAGTAGCTGACAGGTTTAAAACTAACAAGAGAAAATACTTTTTTTATGCAACCCATAGTTAACTTGTGGAATTGACTGCCACAGGAGGTAGTGAAGACAGGTAGCATAGCCAGGTTTAAATGCATGGATGGATAAATTCATGCATGATAGACCTATTAATGGCTACTGAACAGAATGGTTGGAGATATTTCTTCTGTCCCCTCTAAATGAATTATGGTGGGTGCCAGGAAGAGTATTGAACGGCAAATAGGTCACCGGATATATTCAGTGCTCTCCCTCTATAACATCCACTCCTGTCACTGTCAGAGATAGGATACTGGGCTAGATGGACTGCAAGTCTGACCTAGTATGGTACTTCTTATGCTCTTATTCTGCCCAGCCTCAGATGAAATGCTGTGAGCAGTTCAATGTTTTCCATTTTAAAGAAGGATGTAATGAAACTTGAGAGGATTCAAAAGGTGAATAATGAAGATGAGAAAGGTAGAATGTAAGCTGTGTAAGAAAAGGTTCAGGAAATTAAGTGTTTCATTTGGAGAAAAGGATATGGAAGAGGGACATGATAGCAATTTTCAAATATTTGAAAGGCTGCTGTAAAGAAAAGGAAGAACGATTGTTTTCCCTTGTGATAGAGGCCAAATCAAAGTTAGGTGTTTTAACCACAGCAAAGCAGGTCTAGATAAAGCAGGTCTAGATTAAACCTCAGACAAAAATATTCCTAACTGCTAGAACAGTATGACAATGGAATAAGCTGCCTAGATAAATTGTGAAATTTAGTTACTGGAAATTCAGGAAGGGACTACCTAGGCATTTATTTTATCTGGGATGGGCTAGGAATGGTATGTCCTGCATTTATGCAGTGGATCGGACCAGATCACCTTTGAGATCCCATCCAATCTTACAGTTCTGTGAACAGTGCAGCAACACTATGCAATAATCATATCATTATAATTAGTACATATTAATATTTGTGGCCCAGATGTGACTGATTATGAGGGGGAGTAGCTAGAGGCTCCTCCCAGGGTTGTGCACCCATGAAAAATGAGAAACGCAGAGAGTGCTTGCCGCTAATAAGGCAATTAGCGGTGATAAGCGGAGACACGGGCGGGGAAACTCCTTATTCCCCTCTCCCTCTTGTAACCCAAAAGTGACTGAGCCAGGATTGTGAGTAATTACCCTGTACTGAGAGAAACAGCTGGGGACATCCTCTATTCGAGTCGCCAGTGCAGAACAAAAGCCGCCAGATGTGCAGACTACTAACAAGGCAATTAACCCCACAAGAGACCGACCAGCATTTACCTTGAAGATTTTGCAGCTGGAGATCCCCTCTTGAGCCCAAGGGCAATCCAGGGAGCAGCTCAAACAGGCTGCTGCCTCCAATCCGGGCCACTGTAAGAGAAAAGATAAGAAAAAGAATAAAATACCAAAAATAATGTAACTGGGTGGGAGTGGTCATGCTGCGGGTACCAGTTAACATCTCATCCATCTCCTTCCTCCCCTCATAAGATCCAAGTCGTGGCAGGTGAGAACCAGAGGTAACCCTGCTAACCCGATAACAGTAACCACTGCACGAGATTACAGTGCCTTTAACTATAGCTATAGAGAAAAACTGAAGAGTTTTCACACACAACAAAAATAAGCAGGCATTAGGTATAAAATTTCTTCGAAGAGTGATTTTTGTCATTTTTTACTCAAACTAATAAAAAGAATAACTTTGAATTTCTCAGACAGTTCCTTTCTTTGTTGAAAAAATAAATGCTGCAAATTAGGAGAGGATTTATATTCTTCATCTATAACAACATGGCTGGATTCCTAATGGAAGTGAAAAAAAACAAACTCAGCTTTAACCAAGGAGCTATATCCACTACATCCCAAATAAATAAGCATAAATACCACATGGGGAATTTCAATTTCAGAAGATTGTACTTAGTTTAAATAATTCTCTATGCAGTTTTTTTTAATTCAACTTGTTTGTTTTCTCAGGGAAGTGTTTTAAGCTACAGTTGAATGCTACTTCCCTTGTTATCTCAGTCTAATGCATAATGCAAGCTTGTTTACTCTTGCACTATGCATGTGCGTGCGTGTGTGTGTGTGTAATGGTGGGGGCAGGTCTATGCCCTTATTCTCGTTGTACTGTATAAACTGTATGCAACATGGGGAATCTCTCCAGCAATGTTGTATGATAAGGCAGGGGTGGGCAAAATATGGCCCATGGGCCAGATCTGGCTTGCCAGGCACTTTCATCTGGCCCATGGCACTCACCAGTTAATTGTACCCCACCCAGCACTTCTGTCCATGGGGGTGGAAGCAAGGCATCCACTTATACACATGCCCCCAACATACCCCATTGCACCTCACTTCCACCCTCATTGGCAGTAAGGCCTGGCTTGGCCAACAGCAGCTTCCAGGCAGGGCTCCTGCTGCCACAGGGGACCTGCTCAGCTTTCCCCACATCCCGCTTGCTCCAGAGAGCAGGTAGGGAAGAAGTGGGGGTGGAGGCAGGGGTAGAGCTGCAGCCAGGCAGGAGTGCAGAGCATAGGGCTGGAGCTAGCGGCAGCACGGAGCCCGTGCCCAAGAGGGTGGCAGTGTGTGGGTGTGAGGGAGGGTGGGGGGGACCCCCAAACTCCCCCCACAATACAACAGAAGGCAGGGGCACTCAGGGTGCTCATGTCTGGGGCAGGCACTGGCGTCCTGCACATGGCAGCAAGGGGTGCAGCCCCCACCAAGCCGTCTCTATTGCCAGCACTCCCTGCCATGCACGCACAGCCCCCACACTCACATGGCATGGGAGGGAAACCCCACATGCTGAAGCTGACTTCCTTTCCCACCTCTGGCCCTTTGCAGCAGGGGGCAGGGAAGGCAACCGGTTCCAGCGTGCAGGGCTTCCTTTCTATGCCACATTAGTGCAGGGGCTGCCCATGCATGGTGGGGAGTGTCAGCAATAGAGATGGCCTGGAAGGGGATGCACCCCTCACTGTGATGTGCAGTGCTGGCCAGAGCTGTGCACCACTGGGCACAAGTGCCTGAGCATCCCTGCCTGATGCTGCAAGTGTCGGGGAGGTCCCCATATCCCCACAACCTCCCTCACACCCCACAAATGCCACACACCCGCACCCTGCCCCCACAATATATCAAATAAGGCATTAAGGGTGATGTTTGTTGAAATTTATCACAAAATAAAATCTTAGCATGCTTAATAGGTGCACTGGAAAGGATAAACCTTTGGCATTCACCATTGTTACAACTAAAAGAGCAAGTATGAGAGACAATATACCAACAGAACCATATGTGCCATAAGCATAAATCACCTGAAATCCTGCCACATGTGGAGAGTGATCACTTCCCCCCTCTCTAAAAAGTCCATTAGAATGTTATGAGGAGACTTCCCCATTTACTATACAACTAACCCTTAGATTAGAAGTTCTTAATAAGAAAATTAAATGGAATGATGAGTTAGGAGAGAATTGTGTTGCTGTATTCAAAGATACTCTCTCACACCACTCACCTCAAATTCTTTAAAAAAAGAGGCTCAGAAACTCATTCCTCAATATGAAGCTGATGTCCAACAGATGAAAAATGCTCTCACAAAAGACAACAACTTTCTAGGGAATAGTTGCCAATGGCATAAACCATGGTTTGATGAAGACTCCTCTAAAGCTATGAACTTTAATAGAAGCCTTGGATGAATAAAAGTTCAAAAATGACTGTGCGAGTTTCCAACAGATAAAGATTAAAATCCAACAGATGAAAATTAAGACCATTTAAAAAACAGTAAAAAGAAACAGAATCAAATGAGAGAGGAACTGGTAAAATCAGGCAAAACAGAAAATGGATGTTTTTGGCAGATTATAGTAAAATGACAAAGGACAAACAATTTTAACATAATCCCTGATGTGTATATTCCTGAAGAAACAAGTTATGTAAAAAAAAAACAAACCCATGAATGGAAAGGCCCCTGGCCATGATTATCTTCTCCCAGAAATTTTCAAAGAAGTCATCAGCTGGTATTGCTCAGTGTTAAGAAAATATTTAATATAACTATTTTAGAAGGTATTTACCCTAAGCATTGGATTGAAAACATAATAGTCCCCATGTTTAACTATAATGATAAAAGAGATCTTGCAGCATATCATCCTATTAGTCTTATGTGCATTCCTGCCAATACATGGGAAAGTCTCTCATCTACAAACAACAATTTTTGAAAATAACATTCTGGGAGAAGAGCAGGCTGGTTCAAGAGAAGGCTATTCTTGTATGGACCACCGTTTTGTGTTGTGCTGTTTGGCATCCAAACATGTAAAAAAAAAAATCTAAAAGCATAAATATGTAAAAATACAACATTTTTATATGTAGCCTTCAAAGATCTAAAGGGAGATTTTGACTCCATTGGCCAATTAAAATTAGGGAAGAAACTGGTAGGGACATAAATAAATAAAGCTTTCCTATAATAAATTGTTGCTCACTACTCAAATACTGCATCTAGGGTGCATTATGAGATCAGTGATGTCCTCCCTAGTACTTTTCTAAGACAGGACAATGACAAGGATGCCTGCCTGCCTGCTCCACTACTTAGTCTACTTCTGAATTATCTAAAACGTGCTAACAGGGACTTAATTATACAAACCTATGCTATTGAATGGTTCTATCTCCCATTTCATGCAGGTGAAATGCTAATAATGTCACAATCCCAGATAGGCCTCCAAAGGTTATTAGGTGCTTTTCATCAGTATTGGCCACATCTACCAAGATGCTGACTGCGCAGTAGCTTGTTACTACTGCACAGTAGCATTGTGTGGCACAAAGCATGACACAATACTACTGTGCAGTATTAACGAGCTACAGCACAGCCAACATCACCAAAAAGCCATTTGGCAGCGCTACTGCACACTAACTCCGGTTACTGCACAGTCATTTTTGTACTTGTGTATGCAAGTATTAAATGACTGTGCAGCAACAACTGTGCAGTCAGCGTCTCATGTAGGTGCATCCACCATCTCAAACAGCTTGGAAATCAATACTGCTAAATCCAAGGTAGTGTTTTCGGGAGTGAAAGAAGGAAACAGACATAGTTTTTACAGAAAAGGAAATTGGAGGTGGTCTCCTCATTTAAATATCTTGGAATATATGTATTTTAATAAAAATCTGTGCCAGAATAAACACATTGAAAATGTAATCATTAAAGCAGAACAAACTTTGGTTGGAGTTTGAGCCTTTTATAATAAGACAGGCAGTACTGGCAGCACTAAAGGTCTATTGATCTAAGGTAGAGTCCATTTTATTGTATGGAGTGGAAATATGGGATGCAGCCCCCATGGTTGATTCAAAAATATTAAAAATTTTCCATTATTTATTCTGTTGCTTTTTCAGGCAGCTTTGATTTCTACCATATTCTGTGATGGAGGGCTCTGAAACAGGGTTGCTTATTGTGAGAACTTTAGATCAATTAAGAACTCTAAATTAGATTATAAACATTAGAGCCTATACCCCTATCAGATATTATAAAAGTATGTTTCAGAAGCCCATCCTATCTTCCAAACAACTGCTTGTTTGGATGGTGAAATAACATTTATATTCTTCTCCAAACAAATGGCCTAAGAAAGTTGCTGACAGTTGCTGCGCTCCCCCCTCCCCTCACACCAAGTCTGGGGAAGGCATGGGGAGTCTTACTCTACCACTTTACTAATCCTGGGGACCAGGAGGAGTGGAGGAACCACTGCTTCCTAGGGATCCCTGAAGAATTGTGATGGTCTGGGAAAGTGCAGGGAGCTGGGGAGAGACATCAGTGCAGGCTGAACCATTGAATTGCCTGCTCTTGTGGAAAGATTTCTAGAAATAAACACCTGTTAATACCCTAAGTCCAAGTGCCCTATTTCACATAAGTGTTTCTCTAGCCTTGAAAGCATCACCAGACTCGCCATTGCCATCCTAGCCTATGCATCCCTATAACTGTATCCCTTACTCTAGTCCAGTGACCATTTTTGTAGGTAAGGTGACCTGTAGTGGTCTTCATCTTTAACTGCAGCCAAAGGAGCCCTTGAAACAGTGAAAGCAAGACATCACCACAGAAGAACAAGTTCTCTGTGGCTCTCAGCCAGAGGACTGGTGCCTTAGGAAGTGAAAATAAGAAAAAATATGACTAATTTGTTCACTTGTTTAATAGAATGTGTTATACCAGACAACAATATCACTGGTCTATCAAGTCAGGAAATTTGCTTCTGCCAGAGGACCACATATGAAGCTTCACAGGAAAACACAAAATTCCCAAGTTAAGCCATTACATGCCTAGCCAATGGTGCAGCGCTTCATGTGGAGGGCTGTGATATTTATTACAAACCTACTTCTGGAGCCCCCTCAGAGCCCCACATTTTTGCACACTGTGCTGCCACTTG